GCCATTTAGTCATGGGAGTCTTAATCGTCTCTGATTCACAAAATTGTGTGACCTCACCTGCTCCCCACAACATATCAAAAGGATGTGGCATAATGGAACGAAACCAGATAAGATATTTATCTCACAAGTTTGGGGGGGCTTTTTGATGCAGTCTCAAAAGACTGAAGTGTATTGCCGAGCATTTCTTTAATCACTTCTCACAAGCACAATAAAAACCAAGCTCAGTGGAACATATTATTAGACAGATAACAACCCTTAGCCAGCCAAGTTCTAAATGCTGAAGTCATCACAGACAAGATGACTTATCTGGAAAGTTTTGGTTTTGTTTGGTGTTGGGTTTTTTTATTACCAAAAAAAAAAAAAAAAACAACCAAAAAAACAACCCAGAAGATGGTCTCCATGCCCCACAAAAGACTACTCAGACCTGCCACGAAATTCATACCACCACAACAGCTCATCTGGCTTTGATTCTGAGGACCGTGCTTTTCACTGGTAACACAAAGAATCCAGATCCCTGTGTACCAGCAAAAATTTTATCAGGAATTCAGAAGGAATCAATTCCAGCCTTTCACCAAGGGATACATGAAGGGACAATTGCTTGACAACCATAGCTTGACTTCTGAGGGGGCCAGGGAGGAGGAAAACACTACAGAACCTTGCAATGACATTTAAATGGAGATTTTGAAAAGCACCAGGTGGTACAAAAAACATGGAGGAGCAACCCCTGGAAGATCTAATTAACTACATGAGAATATAACATAACCAAATCACTTCTTCAGCAGAGAAGAGAACCAACTAAATTTGGTTCAGACAGACTGTGTTTCAGTATTGCTGCCATGCCCCTCCTGGTAGCTTCCGTCTTCTCATCTCCTTTTAAAACGTAACATGTTGAGTCTGTGCATTTTTCTCCTCTGCCAAAAATAATCAACCTGAAAAAAAATCCTTCTGTAATCTCAAATCTGCATAGTCTTAGTCACCCTTCTGATTACCCTTTTATGCAGCCAGACTGTTCATCAGAGTTATTCTGACAAAAAAAGTTGTCTACAACTAAAATGGGAAAGTACACACAAATTACTTCACTTCCCTGCCCCTACAAAACCCACCATCCAAAACATCTTATCACAGAAAAAAATATAATTAGACTGCACCCTTCTGATGTAAACTGAACTACTACTCTCAGTGATCACAGTTACTCTTCAAAGCCTCTGAGATAAAAAGAATCTTATCATTCAAATTATTACTTCTTAAGAGATGCTCTTATCAAAGTTCGAAGGAAAATTCTAAAAACAGCAGTGATATGAAACCAGGACTGAGACATATTTCAAATGATACTGGATTTTCTGCCAATTGGCCAATTCACAACTCAAAAAAGCAAGTGTAGAGGAAGACAAAGCTGTTGGCTCTCATAACCTTTACAATATCACAGTAAAAATCTCAACTGTCTCACATATTTATACTAAATGGCAGGTCTAAAATTGAGAATTGTAATTTCACAGCATCAAAATCATCACAGATGGCTACAGTCTATTGCTTCTTTAATCTGTCTTTTTTCCCTTCCTGCTTATTTCTCACCCCTTCTCCTTTGAGTTAAAAAGATATGCATTTTATCATAAGGAAATTGTAACTAAATCCAAACCACATTATATTAATGTGTAACAAAACAATTTACATAACAATGATGCATACAAGCAAAGTTTAAAATTACTTTATATCTCAATTTTGCCCTAAAGCACTAATTACTTTAACCTTTAGATGCACCACTAGTTAGGCTAGTTTCACATTCCATCAACAGTATTCAATGTTTATGGTCTTCAAAATAGATAGCCAATAATGGAAGAAGTTTGGGAAAGAATAAATAATAATTTTAAAAAAAAAAATCAACAGCAAGTTGTTGGGTTTTTGTTTTAACATCAAGTTCACAGCTACAAATTCACCTGTAAAAAAAGAATCAGTGTTCACCCAATATTTCTAGTGACCAGACCCAATTTTGTGGAACCACTCCTGTGACATAACCTGTGAAGCTTTCCAAATAAATATGGATTAAATACTTGGCTCCTTTCCCTTCCTGCCCTGGGATTTTGCACACACACGCACATGCACATACACAGTATTCAAACACCTCCATACCACTGTCAATTTTTTTTAAATCCTGTTCAAGGTCAGAGAGTCATTAACTCCCACTACAGGAACCACTTTAGATGTGAAGTGGCTTCCTATTATGTTTCCCACACGCTAATCAGAAATAAAGCAAAAGCAGCTCAAGGAAAATGTATTCTTTAAAAATCAGAAGGCCGAGCGAACTTGAAGCAGCTTTTGGGGCAACCCAAGTGCAAACCGGTCCAGCTCAGCACTGTGTGGCAGGGCACAGGTCCCAGAAGAGGACAGGGAGCTCTGACGTCTCCCGTGGATCTCCCAACAAGTGCAAAGCTCCGATCCACTGGCCTAAACTATTTCCCCACCAAGCTTTTGTCAAACATTTAAGATCTTAATCAATCCAAACTCTGACCCTAGGATCACAGGGGAAGATGGATGAGGAAACGGACAACCTCTGACCTTTCCTTGTATTTGTCCTGCCACAGTCAACATATTGAAAAACAACTGAGGTAGAGACTACTCATCAGCACCAGTCCCAGCCCAGTACCCTTTTACACCTTTACCAAACTCAAAGTCTCTCCATTTGCCCCCAGTCCTCTGTACAAAAACCACAAGAAACCTCCTCACTTCATCCTCCTCCTCCCCTCCACACATCTGCCGGAGCAGAACATTTGCGGAACTATGAAGTTAAGTGGGATAAGAACAGGAGAAGCCTCATTCAGCCGTGTCAAAGGTCAAACTGCTTTAACGGCCTTGCTGGAAACCAGAGAGCAAGCTGCATAATTCTGCTAAACTTCATGAATTCATGAAGAGGAGCTTCCTGGTAAACTCTTCTGGCTGGAGAATGGCAAATGTGAGAAAAGGAAACCACAACCGCTGATGAAATGGGTTTAGCACTTTTAAATTACATGCTGGCTGGAATCCTCTCAAAACTACTCGTACAGGCCAACTTCACTTTGGAGAGCCCAAGAGCCAGAAAGTTTCCATCTCCTATTATTAATATGGCATCACCTGATCTTCCTTTTACTTAGGAAACAGAATTGGGTTTCCTGAGCCCAAGCTTCCCTGGGTGCAGCCGAGAGCCAGTAGGTAAACTGACATTCATCCCCAAGGTCTAGTTCAACACCACAAAAATAAATTAGAAAAGGCATCCCACTATCACCACTGCCCACCAGCAAAACCTCAAGAGATTTCCCTTGAACAACACAGGATTTGTTAAGCAATTACCTCATCATGTCTGGGCCACTGACAACAAAAAACGGTAGATCTGTGTCAGAGTGACCCAGTACTGACCTAAAAGGCCTTTAGGAGAAGGCAGAATAATCTCTGTGCAATAAGCCAACATGCTTTTTTCCCCCCATTCACTTCCTCCTCTCACAACCCAGGCTAGAAAGGTGTCAAGAAGCTTTGTCCAGAACTTACTGAGCTGTTAGAAAGTAACAGCATCTCCCCAGCCACCAGCAGCACTCAGTCAGTACCGCAGCCACAGGATCGCATGTTTAATGCTGCACACGTTTTCAAGTTTCCATCTCATGGGATTCCAAAAAAACAAGAGTAATTTACCCCAGACAGCATGCCCTGTCATCACGCTGCTCATCTTTCAGTCCCTTCTACAGCCCACAGTAATTGTGTTGCCGATATGGCACACTTAGGCTTTTTCCATATAGCAAAAACACCAGAAATGAAGGCTAGGGTTTATAGCTAGTGCTTCTTTCCTGCCAAAGCTTAATTTCAATGCATAATAATGAACTTTATATTGACTGTAAATTATCATTTAAAAGAAATCAAGCAGGACATCTAAAAGACACTGTTCTCTTAAGAATCCAGCACAAAACCAGTCAGTTACTTGCTCTGCTATCTTATTCTTAGTCTCAAGATGAAAAAGATGACCTAGTGAAAAACACACCCAGAAGATGTGAAGCAAACTCATCTGGCTCCAGAGAACCTTTTCCAAAACCACAGGTCCAAATGCACTAAGGATTTGAGGACCTTCAATTCAGCACCAAGCAAAATTAAGTCTGCTGACCTGTGCAAGAATCTATTTGAGTTCGATCTTAATTTACGCTTCCAAGAGCAAGACTTTAGAAGCTGAGGCTAAAGGCATTTTACTTATAAACTCCCTTCTCTCCTTCCCTAACCTTTTACAACTTCTTTTTCCATAAAGGAGAGGTGAAGAGAACATAGGGTGGGATTTTTTTTTTTTTTAGGATAATCTGTCTTTTATACAAACTTTAATCCCTAATTCTGCAGCACACAGGATGGTGTGTGTGGGAGGGTGGGGTGGAGACTTTTAGCATTTCTAAGAGTATCCTAGCAGCTCTATTATTAAGCTGACAATAGAGACCCTCTGAGAAATGAAAATATTTAACAAAGGCAGCAGTGTCAAATATCAAAGGGTTATTTAGTGCTAAAAATTTGCAACAAGTAAAACACCAAAGACTTCCCCTTCTCAAAGAGGGAAAGTAATCCAGCTAAAACTCCTGTTCCCCCCTCCCCGACTGGTTCTTACCCCACTGCATTATCCAAAGGAGACTTTGCCAGAATTTCCTGTACTTAACAAAGTTCACTTCAGATAAGACTTTAAAGATTTGTCTCTTGAGACAGTAACTCAACTGCAGTGTTTTGCAGTCATTCACATTTTGGTGACTATCATGAGCCAATTCAAATTTAGGCGCCTGCTAGAAAATGTGCTTTGCCTTCTGCCTGTTATGGCAGTATCATTTGTTTTCATTATATAATTCTTAGCCTTACCACCTGGAACTGTTGAACTTCTTCATTAAACCCCTCTGTCCCACTGCATCCCACAGGGGCTGCCAATTATTGGCTTCACTCCATTTACTCTCATCTCCGATTCAATTATGCATTCAACTAAGCCCTAATGAAGAGTACAATATGGCTCATCCTACCTTGGCATTCACCATTACGTTCTTCATAGCCAGCATTGCACAGACAGTTGCCAATGGGCACCAGCCATTCGCCATCTGCCCCACAGTACATTTTTGGCACATCCTTCTCTTCAGAGTTGTTGACGCAGGAGCCGCGAACTTCCACCAGAGAGGACGTATCAGCCCCAGTAATTGTGTCTGGAAACTGTGCCAGGTTTCGAACTGTCAACGGGCACCTCTTATAGAAGACACGAACAGACACCAAAGCAATGCAGGCGCCGACATCTTGAAAAGCCAAGTAAAACCCTTTCTTGCCGAGTGGTCCCACATCCCGTATCTCTGTATTCAGCTTCATGATCCTGTCACCAATGTCCACCTGGGTGAAGCTCTCATCAGCAGCGATGGTGTCAATCTTGGCAAACTGGCTCTCTCTAATAAAACGCTCCTTATCATTGTTTGATTCATAGTAATAAAGGTTGAAAGTCTCTTTGCAAGTCCCCATGACACCTGGCAGGCTGTTGCAGTCCCTTAGCGTGAACTTGATTTCAATATATACCCTTTGAGCCCCCTCACGGGGAATCCAATCAGTTCGTAACCAATTATTCTGACTGGGCTCCATCACATTGCAGACTTGATAGGTGCGGATCGGAGTGTTCTTCTCATCCATA